AGCCAAGGAGCTGGGGAGAGCGTCTCCTGACCCCATCTGACCAGAGAGGCTGGTGGGAACACCTGGATTCTGGGCCGCGCAGGTGGATGGGAGGAGCTGAGAGGAGGGTGGGCGGAGCTGATCGCCCCCAAAGCAAACCAGTACTGGAGGTGGAGGGTTCCCCGGCCTCGCCTCGCCCAGGCAGGGAGAATAAGTCACAGCCAAGGCTGACGGTAGCTCCTGGCCCCTCTCGACCAGAAAGCCTGCTAGAAAAAAATTGAGAGTTGCCTGGAATGGCCCTTCCCCATCCCACCCAAACAAGTGAGCTGAAACAGCCCCACCCACTGTGGCTCCCGGGACCCCATCTGACCAGAAGCGCTGGTGAGAACACCTGGAAGCTGTGTAATCAAAATAGAAATTAAGTGGTTATAGAAAAATAAAGTAATATTTCTTGTCCACCTGTGTTGGTGTATGAGCTTTGTACCTGTCACCCATCAATCTTCCAAATTAATTTTACTGATTATTTGAGATTACTGATTATTCCATCTCAAAGTGGATTAGTAGATTTTTTATCATGGTGAAAAAGGTCATTGCCATTTAACATATTGGGAGTTAAAATAAGTTAGGGTGAAGGTAAAGTGACAAGTGTTCATTCCTACACAAGAGCGAATGTGGTTAGATTGCCACTGTCGCAGAACGCTGCACTGATATTACTCTACTAGGTGTGGATATGGGCTAAAAAGAAAAGTGAAAACCAGAGCTCAAAATCTAAGCCTTGCTGGCCAAAATAAAAATATTTAAATAAATATTAAAATATAAAATAATACTATGCTTTAGTAACACTTATATTTTACCCAGGAAGGACGAGCACTTCCAAAGTTGTCAATAGCCTTACAATTACACCCGCAATAGTAAATTATTGTTACTGGGTTAAACTATTCTGTTTTGCTTATCAAGCAAGAGAGCAAACCTTCTAACTGTGCCACATTTATGGAAGTGGCTGAAAAATATGTTATCATTAATTTTTAAAAAACACTGTAGATGACATTAGTAAAAGTTCTGTAAAGTTACTCCATTAAAAAAAAAAAAACGGGCCGGCTGGGTGGCGCAAGCGGTTAAGTGCACGCGCTCCGCTGCGGCG